GAATTTCGGTTGACTTCCATTTCTTTTTTGCAACTCTATGGGTTGGTGGGATTGTCTCTTTAGATGTCTGCTGAACTGACTCACGCAACATATCCCACTGTTCATCAATAGTCTGTATAATTTCCATTGCATTATACCGGTTTTGTACAGTGACACTGTACTGGTCCCTAATTTCTTTATCCGTTCTAAGAATTCCTAAATTTAACTTGATGTTCTGTGGCGTTTTTCTAATGTTCTTTAGTTTTATTCTAATTTTTCCTACAACTGGAACATGGTCACTAAAGCAGTCTGCTCCTGGTCTAGTTTTTGCTCCAACTAAGCTGCCCCTGAATCTTCTTGAAATCAAAATATAATCAGTCTGATTGCGGACATTATCACCAGGACTTTTCCAAGTCCAAAATCTTCGAGGATGGTGTTTAAACCATGTGTTACCTATTATCATGCTGCGTGACTCAGCCCATGCTTTTAATCTGTCACCTCTCACATTCTGTTCTCCTAGGCCATAGCCACCCGTTATTCCGTACACTTTTTCACGTCCTATTTTCGCGTTGAAATCTCCAGGTACCATTGTTACTTCACAATTTTTGCATTGATCAACAGCCATGTCTAACTCATCATAAAATGCGTCAATATCTTCCTCTGAACTATCTGCTGTTGGGGCATAAATCTGTACTAAGTTGATGTCAAACAACCTGCCGCGAAGTTTTATTAATAGTACTCTATCTGATATTGTCCAAAATCCTTTCACAGTTTTTGAGTTCTTTTGATCCAAAATAATACCAACTCCCTTACTATATTCCTTCCCACCCGAGTAAATAATTATGTACTGATCTGAATACTTTTCACCTGCTCCTGGCCATCGCATTTCACTAATTCCCAATATGTTGATGTTCATTCTTTTAATTTCCATCTTGATGTTATCCAGCTTTCCGTTTTGTACGAGTGTTCTGACATTCCATGTACCAATGTTCATGATGTTTCTACTATTTACTTTTTCTACAGTAGCTGGATGACGGTCGGGGGCTCTACTGGCCAGTGTTGCCACTTTTCTTTGACAAAAAAGATCCAAAACGGGGTAAAAAAATATCTAAAAAGATCTAAATTTGCGTGGAAAATATTTAAAAAAAATATCCAAATGAAAAGAGTCACAAATTACAAAACTATTGAAATGACTTACCCTATAGACACATGTCCTCGTCTTCACTGATGTCTGCTTCACAAGATCCACAGGATAAACTTAGCTTGGATGATGAAGTTGAAGCTTCAGATCCCAAATTACTCTGGTATGCTTTAGCTGTTCCTATTTCTTTTAATACACAATCAGGGAGCTGATAAGTGGAACAGCATTTTTCTACTCTCATCAGGCCAAACTTTATTGTCAAGATAGCATTTAAGAGGTCTAATTTCATCCTGTTTCTTAGGTTAGATTTGATATAATTCATAGCACTGAAAACTCTTTCTACGTCAGCATTTGAGTGGGGTAGTATCATGGCAGACATGGCACATTCAAAGAGTTTACAGAATGGACTGTTTGATGAGGCATCTTTAAATTGTCTCACTTTACTCCAAAACGCTTCAGTTTCTGTTTTGTTTGTCCATTCAACTAAGTTTTTTTTTGGTTAACTGATATTCTGCTTCCGCGACACTATTGTCAGTAGCCCCTAAAAATTTCATAACTTTACAATATTTAGGTATGTCCTTTACTGGCTGAAGTATGTTGCTCACAGAAAAGAGTGAAATATTTTTCAAAACATCTAGATTTTCAGGAAGTCTCTGCTTTAGTTGCTTGAACAATGAGATAAGGAAATCTTGACAGCGTTTTCTTAAGTTGTTCTCTTCATTCTCTGTTAACAGTCCTTTTGTTTTTAAATCATCAATTTTTGATTCAATTTGATATCCAAGGTATGGCTTAGGAGCCAAATAGCTCTCTATAGTGCAAGTGAGCAAATCAACTTTTGAAGTTGGCAACACCAGTCTTTTACCAACTGAGTAAAATAGCAAAGTGAGATCGTCAAGTAATTTAACTTTATCAACATGTTTGGATTCGAACAGTTTATTAACTTTTTGCACTTCCATTAGAATAAGTTGTAAAAAGAGAAGGAATGCCAAATTTTTTTTCATCACTGTACATTCCATATAGTATCTCAGCTGTGTAGCACTTTTCACTTTGTCTTGTTATTTCAAAGTGTGTCTTCAACTCCAACCATTGGTTCACAATTCTTTCAACAGCTGGTTGTATTGATAACCACCTGGTTTTGCAATCTGACAGAATTTTCAGTGGTGTGGCAACCATTATTTAAGGCTGAATACAATGCATTGTATTGCTGTTGTCTGACAAATGATTTTGAAAACCAGTTATATGTTTCAGCAATAAGGTATTCCAAATTCCTTGGTAAACATTCAGATGAAGCATGTGATAATGCTAGCTGCAATCACTGAGGCATTATCGGTACCAATTGCAACCAAATTTGTTAAGTCTAACTGTTTGCTGATTAAAAGGTTCTTCACTTCTTGAACTATACTTTCTGCATCACACTTTTCCAATTGAACTAGTCCAAGATATGTAGAAACTACTTTGTCTGTATTGTTGCTGAAATATATAATACACACACCAAGCACTTTCAGTACCGAAATATCATTTGATTTGTCTAATAATAAACTATATTTATTTGTAGAAATATCACTGATCAAATCTTTTTCGAAGTGAGAAAATAAAGTATTTCTTATAATATGTGTACACTTGCTGCGATGCATTTTCACATCACCCATAACTTTACTGTCAGAAATTGTGTTTTTAAACAAATCAATCAAATGGTCACAGTTTGAAATTGCACAATGGCAACTTAAAAACATTGCGACCGACCCTTCAACTTTTGATGATTCATTTATCAGTGTAGTTCTGAAAACAGATGTCAGCGGTGTAATATCTTTGAATGGAACTGCAGTTTTATGCTTGTTAGTCTCTGCATGCTTCTTTAAGTCTTGTATTTTCGCTTTAATTTCACACTTGCAGTACTTACAACGAGCCTTGGTTATATCCCCAGGAACTGCCATCACCCAGTCTTTAATTTTGTCATCATGCAATACTCTTTCCGAAATTTTTGCTCATACTTTACTTTTGGCATGTTGAAAGGTTTTTTTCAAAGTGAAAGCCACACAAGAAGGTGAGCAATTATTTTTTTAAAATCAAATGAAAAAGAAACACAGAGTCAGCATCACAGCTATACTTCACAACACAGTGAGGATACGGTTGAAACAAAGTTAGTATGATTTTCGCGCGATTTCGATTAATCAGCACCGGGGTTGTCAGATATTTGAGTGTTGACCTTAGTGAGAGTTCAAAGTTTAAGTAATGGCAGTTGCCACAATGTACGTGCCAGACCAAAACAAAAATATTTTAGTAAATATTTTACTCAATAATTATTAAAATGACACTAAAAGAAAAAAATCTATAAAATATCTAACTCCATATGAAAAGAATCTAGAAAAATATTTAGTATCTAAACGTCAAAAACAGGATCTAAATGCAATGAAAAAGATCTAAATTTGGATACAAAAGATCCAAAGTGGCAACACTGCTACTGGCAAATCCGGACGAAGAATAATCAGACTTGGACGACTTAGTCAGAGTTATCTCCCGTCGCCGCACTCCGAACAGTAATCGGAAAACAAACGAAACAAACGACACACTTACCTATCATCCTGCGGTTGCGTGTAGGGCTGCGTACGGTTGCGTGAGACATCGTGCCATCATCATATGGTTGCGTGCACAGTTGCGTACGGTTGCGTGAGGCACTGTGAATGGTTGTGTAGTCATCATCATGCGGTTGTTGGATTATAGTTAGGGGTAGGGTTAGGGGTAGGGTTAGGGGTAGGGGTAGGGTTAGGGGTAGGGTTAGGGTAAGGGGTAGGGGTAGGGTTAGGGGTAGTGTTAGGGTTAGGGTTAGATGTGAACATTTTGACGTAGGATTTCGAAATACTGGCCGACAATATGATGTTTGTGGGAGTGGCGCCACTGAAACTCTGCCAAATATGACGCCAATAGCGTGCGGCTGGTGCCCACAATCGTTTGCGAATTGTGCGTGTGACCAGCATCCAGAGGCCCTCGATTGTTTGTGTGTGTGTATGGGACTGTGCGCGATTATAGGGAACTCCGGCGTCAAAACTGTCAAATCTAACGCTAATCCTAACCCTACCGCTAACCCTAATCCTAATCCTACTCCCTAACCCTAACCCCTACCCCCCTAACCAAGCAAATTTATCGATCATTAAAGCATACAAATCGGCAAACACGAACAAACAAAACACACCCACACAAAAAAAAAAAAACACCCAGAATTGTCCTGCAGCGTCGAAAAAAAACCCCAGATCTGGGGGAAACAACCAAGCATTGGCAGCCCTGATGTCGACGTGACTGTCTTCTTTGTTTCGTTGTGGCTTTTCCGATCACTGTTTGGAGTGCGGCGACGGGAGATAACTCTGACTAAGTCGTCCAAGGCTGTTTATTCTTCGTCCGGATTTGCCAGTAGAGCCCCAGCCGGTTTGTATATGGTTTGACTCCAATCGCCTTTGTCTAAAGAGACTTACCCTGCAAGGCAGCAGGGGGGAGAGGTTATGGCGCCTCTTACCCGCCGATGGCCATGTCGTAGAGTTTTGAGGTATTTTATAGAGTTAGCTGTCCCACCAACTAACTCGCCTCCTCTCAATGACCATCACCTGTTTTGGTCCATGGCCACTTATTCAATATATTCGTGGCTAACCTCTATATCTAGAGGCCTTTCCACCATCCGCCACCAGGTGGACGCGCCTAGTAGTAGGACAGGCTCCTACCCCAGGTAGGATTACGATAAACACACATTTTCCTACCTCTAAAACACATATTTTGTTTCACATTATTGTTGAAACAAAGTTCATATATTTAATTATCACCGCTACTGTAACCAACAGATGAACAAGGGTCAGAGGTCGCGAGAGGTCATAGTTCAGAACAAAGTACAACAATGGCCAGCAATTCTTTCATCAACTTACAGGGAAAAGTTGTCATTATCACAGGTAACTTGATATTATATCCTTGTGTTTTTCGCCTAGTCACAGGTACTCTCTGGTGTGTAACATCTAACTTGTTTCATTTGACTAGAAACGTGCAAGGATACAGTCTCCGGCGACAGAGGGGGTGGGGCCCCACAGCTTCACACTGTTGTCAGATGAAACACTTCTTTCTTCTGCCTTTCTAACCTCCCAGTAGAGCATAGGCCCTCAACCAACTCACGCCAAGTCGTTCTATCCTTCGCTATCGCATGCAGCTCTCCCCATCTTTTTTACTTTGCTCTCTAGCTCCATTCTCCTGGTCTTACTTTTATTTCCCTGTTGGTTTCAGTGAAAAGACATTCTAGTTATTGTTCTCAAGTTTTTTCAATGTGTGTCCTATTCAACGCCAACGTCTTTCTTCACCTCTTGGTCCACTGGAACTTGTTTAATTCTCTTCCAAAGTTCAGCCTGAGTGATTCTATCATGATGAAACACAATAGGCCTTCTTGGTAGAGGAAAGCAACTGGTTACAAGGATTCTTAACAGGCAAATCAGTGCAAGTCTCCCTGTGTGATAGTGCCTGAACGGTTTTATGAATGCCTGTGTACTGTTATATACAAATGTTTACAATAAGATGTACAGACATGTCCTAAGTATAACCGACTCACAGAGCATGCTTTGTGCAGAGTGACAAGCATCAATTCAGAGGACCCAGATAGTTAGCGTCATTTGGATATTTCCTCCAGGTTATGCTGGTGTTATGGGAAATAAACAGACAGATAGACTGGTCGGTTCTGCATCACTTAGTGGTGAACTGATAAATGACAAGCTATATGTTGTGAGCGCCTTTTTAGGAGCGGGTGAACAGTGCGGAGGCGCAAACAGATCATTACGGTCAGAGAAGAATGGCACTGCGAGGAGCTACCTGGGGATCTGGCTGACGCTCAACACTCAAGGGAAAGGCGAGACGGATATACAATTAGATAGTTACCAGTGCCATCAGAATTGGAACTCTTCCCTCGCTGCCGAAGATGGGGATGGAGTGCTTATGGAAGTGTCCTGAATGATGTAATGTCGATTCTTAATTCAACATTTATTACAAGTGTTTGTATGTGTTCATGTAATGTTTACATATGTAAGTAAAAACATGTGTGTGCATAAGTACGTCGCGTGTGTGGAGTCTATCATATATGTGTGTGCATGTATGTAAACACTGGCCGTGTTCTGCATATCCCCAGGAGCCAGTGCCGGGATCGGCGAGGCCACGGCCCAAGAATGTGCCCGACAAGGCTGTCAGCTGATGCTCCATGGGCGGGACACGGGACGCCTGCAGGCCGTCTCTGCGGCGTGCCGGCAGTTGGGAGGTCAGAATATAACGGTCAGATTTTAACAATTGTTATTTTCTACATTGTCTGTCTCGACCAGTTACCCACACAGAGACAAACGGGGTGGGGGGGGGTGGGGGTCATTCAAGCAGGATTAATTGCACAATAAAAAATATAATTATTATATTTGTAATATAACAAAAAATTATTAACAGTTAAATTACTGCAAAATTAAACAAGGCTTAGGCACTGTTAGATCACCCCCTAACCCCCAAAAAGTTCATATGGATTTGAGGTTTTGAACAACATATCAACATCAAGGCACACGGGTAGTAATCCATAAGTGCTCCATTCTTCTTCTAACTCAAGCTGAGTACAGTGCACAGGCTCTGTAGCACCAGTGAGGATCCTGAAATACTTTGGGTAGATTTATCTCCAAATTTTGCCCGGGCAGTGCCGTTAGGCTACTCTTTTTTTATTTCCAACTGCCAAGGGACTTTTTACATGCACAACCATGCACACAGGCATTCGATCTCACTTCCTAGAGACCAGGGGGAGTTAATATAAGTCCAAGTACACGTGAAAAAATCCCAGCACTTACCAGGGATTGAACCCGGAACCTCTAGCACTCGAGTTTATAAGGAAGAGGACTCAAGAGGCTTACTCACTGTTTCACTGAGCTAGAGAATACAAACATTATTATGATTGTTTTTATAAGCTGAATGGCAAATACAAAATAATATAAAATCTATAAACAAATGCTTAAAAAGAGAATGTCTATACATAGTTGCGAAAAGGGTGGAGGGGGGAGTGCTGAGCCCTTAGCCATCCTAAATAAAAAATCTGTCTGCCTACATGTCTGTCTGCCTACATATCTGCCTGCCTACTTGTCTGTCTGCCTACATGTCTGCCCACCTAAATGTCTGCCTGCCTACATGTCTGCCTGCCTACATGTCTGTCTGCCTACATATCTGTCTGCCTACATGTCTGTGTACTTTTTTGGCTATTAAATAATATCAATCATATCCTGGTCATTATGCACTGGGATATATATTTAATATGATTTGCATAATGACCAGAATATGATTTATAATATTTAATAGCCAAACAAGTATATACACACACATATGCATATACACACATATATATATAAATATATATATATACATATATATACATATACACACACACACACACACACACACTACAGCCAGTAATTACATATGTAAACTGGTTGTATGTAAACAAGTAAAGACGACACATGTCAGAAAGTTCTCTGAAAAATTTAATATGTCAATCAATAGTTCTCTAAAAAGTTGACATGAGTACCTCTGACAAGTTAAGATGACACATGTTCTCTAACAAAGTGAGATGACACATGTCACCTATTTTTAACTCAGGTGCAGACAACTGCTGGTGACATCACAGATCCTGCCGTCCAGAAGGAGATCATCGAAGAAACCCTGTCAGCATTTGGCAAAATTGACATCTTGGTGAGTGTGGATGTTTGTTCCTGGCACATGTTGATGTATGTTGCTGACATGTACTGGCAAATAACGGTTCAGTTAATATACAACTGGTTCATCAGATTCTGAAATAGCCAATGTCCAGACTGACCAGTCCAATAACTGCAGGAGCCAATTCATAAAACAGGATATCAGTGAACCGCTGACTTACAGGCCGCATTCGTGGCTTAGGCGTTTTCTCACTTCCTGATCTACTTCCATTGTTCCATTCATAATTCCAACATGCCGTGATCGAAACCCACTGCAGGCTGTGTGGATTTTTATCATGGTATGGGGCGTCGCAGGTCGACCCAGCCTAAAATGGGTACCAGGGTGTATGTCCTGGGGAAGTAAAGATGGCCGCATAATGCTGACCACATTACCTACCTAGTGCCGATTGGCCTGTAAAAATATGGGTGCTCTTTCCATATGCCTAATGCGCCTAAAGGAGTGAAAAGGGATCTTTACTTTACTGACTTAATGGCCCGATGTTCCCCATCAAACATGACATCTGTAAACCAGTGACTCATAAAACATGACATCAGTGAACCACTGACTTACAACCCGATGTCCCCCATCAAACATGACATCTGTAAACCAGTGACTTACAACCCGATGTCCCCCATCAAACAATGAAATCTGTAAACCAGTGACTTACAACCCTATGCCCCCCATCAAACATGACATCAGTGAACCACTGACTTACAACCTGATGTCCCCCATAAAACATCACATCAGTGAACCACTGACTTACAACCCGATGTCCCCCATCAAACATGACATCAGTGAACCACTGACTTACAACCTGATGTCCCCCATAAAACATGACATCTGTAAACCACTGACTTACAACCTGATGTCCCCCATCAAACATGACATCAGTGAACCACTGACTTAACGGCCCGATGTCCCCCATAAAACATGACATCTGTAAACCAATGACTTACGGCCCGATCACCCCCCCCCCACCCCCCCATAAAACATGACATCAGTGAACCAGTGACTTACGGCCCGATGCCCCTCATAAAACATGACATCTGTAAACCAGTGACTTACAACCCTATGTCCCCCATCAAACATGACATCAGTGAACCACTGACTTACAACCTGATATCCTCCATAAAACATGACATCAGTGAACCACTGACTTAACGGCCCAATGTACCCCATAAAACATGACATCTGTAAACCACTGACTTACGGCCCGATGCCCCCCATAAAACATGACATCAGTGAACCACTGACCGAGGGGCCAATATCCTACAGGTCAACAATGCTGGGATGATGATCAACCGAGACCCCCTGACCGCCACGAGAGAAGTCTACAAGCAGATCATGGACACCAACCTGGAGAGTGTATTCTTCTTAACCCAGCTGGCCATCCCACACCTGATCAAGTCCAAGGGTAGTGATTCATTTATTTGTCTGCCTCATCCTTATATCTCCACCCACTGTCACTCTTGACCTCCTTCATTATGTCTCTTTTGATTCACTCTATCTCTCCATCAGTTATGCTAGTCTGTCTCCTTCTAATGACTCCCTGTCTCCTCCATTCTGTTATTATCTCCTTTGCTGTGTCTATTCTGCCCCTCTATTTCCTCTTCTATTCAACCTGTCTTTGTTTATTCTGTCACTGACTTCTTCTATTGTTTTCCCCCCTCCATTCTCTTACTGTGTGTTCCTATATTACTTCTCAAGCATCTAATATCCTTCAGGTTTCCCACTCACATTGTGTTCTGCTTCCACCCTACCCTCATCATGTTTACTTCCTGTGTTTCTTTCTTCCTCTCCACCTTCACTCGGTGTCACCTTCTAATTCTTCACTCATGTCTGCCACAGACAGCACTCCCTCTCATTCTTAACTCGTGTCTGCCACAGACAGCCTCCCTCTCTGTTTTCACTGGGTGTCTCCCTCTCATTCTTAACTCGTGTCTGCCACAGACAGCACTCCCTCTCATTCTTCACTCATGTCTCCCTCAGACAGCACTCCCTCTCAATCTTCACTGGGTGTCTCCCTCTCATTCTTCACTCATGTCTCCCTCAGACAGCACTCCCTCTCAATCTTCACTGGGTGTCTCCCCCTCATTCTTCACTCATGTCTCCCTCAGACAGCACTCCCTCTCAATCTTCACTAGGTGTCTCCCTCTCATTCTTCACTCATGTCTCCCTCAGACAGCACTCCCTCTCTGTTTTCACTGTGTGTCTCCCTCTCATTCTTAACTCGTGTCTGCCACAGACAGCACTCCCTCTCATTCTTCACTCATGTCTCCCTCAGACAGCACTCCCTCTCAATCTTTACTGGGTGTCTCCCTCTCATTCTTCACTCATGTCTCCCTCAGACAGCACTCCCTCTCAATCTTTACTGGGTGTCTCCCTCTCATTCTTCACTCATGTCTCCCTCAGACAGCACTCCCTCTCAATCTTCACTGGGTGTCTCCCTCTCATTCTTCACTCATGTCTCTCTCACACAGCACTCCCTCTCAATCTTCACTGGGTGTCTCCCTCTCATTCTTCACTCATGTCTCCCTCAGACAGCACTCCCTCTCAATCTTCACTGGGTGTCCTCCTCCTGTGTCTCAGCACTCCCTCAGACAGCACTCCCTCTCAATCTTCACTAGGTGTCTCCCTCTCATTCTCAACTCATGTCTCCCTCAGACAGCACTCCCTCTCAATCTTCACTGGGTGTCTCCCTCTCATTCTTCACTCATGTCTCCCTCAGACAGCATCTTCTCACTGATCATCTCTGTCTTCACCCTTGTTAACAACAATGTGCCAGATTTCAGTGAGCAGACATTTAATTTTTCTCTCTTGCAGGCAATGTTGTCAATGTTTCCAGCATTGTTAGCCACACAGTTGTAAGTTTGTTGCTAGCTGTTTGTCAGTTATTGAATGTTGCTGGATGTAGTATACTTTGTTGTGTTTGGTTGTGTGGCAGTTGTAAATGTTGGCTATTTGGTAGTGGATTCAATGGGTAATGCTTATTATCTTTGTTCCCAGAGATGTGTGTTGCAAACTGCAAATTCAGAAAATGGCGAGTGGCTGGTTGCCACATATATGGCGGTGTGCCTTTTGCAGTAATGCATATGCTGGTTTGTCCTGCTTCCATCAACTATAAATAGCAATTTTAGTGACAAACTATAGGTGTTGGCATCTCTGGGAGCTGCCTCATTATGGATCCTATGCATGTGTGAGCTGTTGAATTTTGCCGGTACTGCTATCTTCTGACTTTTCACATGGGACAGCAGTCAGCATTTTGTGTGGTTTACATTGGCATAGGAATAAAAAAAAACTATGGGGTGAACAATTTGTGATGAAGTTGGAATCCTGACCAACAGCCTGATTTTGACAGACAGCATTTTAAAACTCAGACACACTGGTTTTCAATACAGGGGATCCACTTGTGGGTTCCGGAGAAAACAAGAACAGACCCACTGCCTGCCCAAAAGCATGTCATAAGAGTCGACTGATTGGGAGCTTCATTTGAAGTTGGAGTACATCTGCCTGAGAGGCAAGGAACCAACAATCTGCATGCAGATGAGTCTTACCTGTGAAACAGATGTATGTGCAACACTCAGTTTCTGGAACGGGACTAGAGTCCAGCTGTGGAAAAACAACCAGAACTTTCCGCTGGAGTTTACAACCAGTGAACATGCAGAAGAAGAAGAAGAAGAAGAAGAAGAAAAAGAAGAGGAAGAAGAAAGAGGAGGAGGAGGAGAATAATAATAATACAATGGAGTTAACAATTCAGACCCAGTGTCCCTGTTGATTTAGCTAACCACCTATAAAACCCACCAAAAACCATATTTGTTGCACATAGCTGTCATGCTGGGGAGTCGCCGTGGTGCAGCAGCTAGACTCTCGCCTGCAGATCAGAAGGTGATGGGTTCAGCCTTGACAGGAGCTGAAATTTTTTTCTTTAAAAAATGACCTTGGCTCACAGGTCGACCCAGCCTTGAGTGAGTACCAGGTGTGGTCCTGGGAAGTAAAGGCAGCCAGCGTGATGCTGACCACATCACCCATCTTGTGCCGTTGGTCTATAAAATATAGGTCTAGCCCTATATACCCAATACACCTGAAAGGTGTAGAAAAGGGTCCTTTACTTTAACCTGAGCTGTCAGGCTGAACCTGTTCATGTGTACACATTAATGGGTATACGTTACAAATACTTGCTATAGAATAAGTCCAATGACAGATGCCTGGCTGTGAAATAGTTCTGTGACAGCTGTCGTGTCTTGTGGTTGGAGTTTACTAAGTGATGAATGACGGTATGTAGCAAGCCTGGAGCATAATAAGATAACAAAACCCTTGACCCATTAGGGTCGTGGAGGTGTACTGATGGAAGCACTAGCACATAAAACCCACCATCTTTCTCGGTCTTCCGCTTGATGAATAAGTGTATGATAACTTAGTCTTGTCCATTTCTTGATGTTGTCATTCCAGGTTCTTCTCTGCCCTCCTCTTCTTCGATTACCCCCCAAAGTTCCTTGAAGTACAGTCTTGGCAATCAAATCATGTCTTACCACGTGCCCAAACCAAGCTAGCTTGCGACGTTTCACCAATGCCAACAGAGGCTCCTGATGTCCCATAAATGTGTATATTTTGTCTCTGGAACAGGCTATAACTAATACTGGGTTTGATGTTTTCAGATGTCTAAGTCTGTTGTGTACACCATGAGTAAAGCAGCCCTGGATTCCTACACAAGGGCCCTGGCTGTAGGTAAGTATGTCAGATGAATGTTCTCCATCTGTCCAGGATGTTCCACAAAATATGTCTGCCCAGGATCTTCCACAGACTAATGTCTTCCCAGGATCTTCCACAGACTAATGTCTTCCCAGGATCTTCCACAGACTAATGTCTTCCCAGGATCTTCCACAGACTGTCTTCCCAGTATCTTCAACAGACTAATGTCTTCCCAGGATCTTCCACAGACTAATGTCTTTCCAGGATCTTCCACAGACTACTACCTGCTCCACATGGAGGGAAAGAGTTGTTTTCAACTGAAGATAAGCCTGGGTATTATACTATGGCAAAACCTCAGCAGACACGGTATCTAAGTTGTTAGTTTTGCTCAGTGACAAGCAGTTTTATGTACACTACTATGCAGCCCTAGACATCCAACAGCCGCTCTTAGTTGTGTCTGACTGGGTACTTTCTGAGTTAAGTTGAGTCAAGAATTGACATCACAGCACTCGGGGCATTCCCATGTGTGCTCCTTCCTCATCTTCAGCAGCCAGCGGAGAGTTCCGGTACTGATGGTACCGGTCACAATTTGGTTAAAAGTCCATCTTGCCTTTCCTCTGTGTGAAGTGAGCCGGCCAGACCCTCTGGTTACACCCAGGTACCTCATTCTCCCCAGACCATAATAATCTTGTTTTTCTACAGATTCCGCTGCTTGTTCCCAAAGAGCCTTGACCACGTCTGCCTTGTCATGTATCAATTCACCACCCAATGGTGCAGATCAAGCCAGTCCAGAACAAACCCCTCATCTTCTGGGTATTTTCTGTCACCAGGAAGCCTTCAGTTGCAGAACCTGACCCTTCTGGTTGGTGGAATCTGTCACAGAGTCAAGCCAGCTCCTGATATCTCCACATTCTGCAGCCTCGAACTGGTTCCTTTCCGGTTGCTGTGTCTGTCCCCAGCATTTCCAAGTGCTCCTTGCTGTGGATGTCCAGATATTCTGTCACCACGTGCCATCTGTCCGTAGATAGAGCATTAACTACGCCAACATTAAGACTAGATGAAGCATCAGACGCCACATATGAAATACTTTGGGGACACATCAACATATGTAGACCGAGGAAGACAGATATACAAGAGGAAGACAAAGGTAGAAAGAGGAAGTCAACAAAGACAAAGGTAAAGAGGATATTTGCAGTATGACAGGAGACAGAAGGCAGGAGGCAGGAGGCAGTGGGCAAGAGAAAGAAGACAGGAGACAGAGGGCAGGAAGGCAGGAGACAGAGGGCAGTAGACACAGGGCAGGAGACACAGGGCAGGAGACAGAGAGCAGGAGATCTGCTACAGCCAACCTCAAGTGTGCAGAAGGCTCATCTCAGTTATAAACATCCGGGAAAGCTAGCCCGGTCAACAAATGCCTGCAGAAGTCGGGTGTGTTGGCTGAAAGGTGCAAATATTGCAGCCATGCTGTAAACGGACACAACGCAATTACATCTTCGGATGAACGCAGAAGAAGAAGAAGTTATAAACTTTTACCTGAACCTAAGCTTAATTGTCACCATTATCCTGGGCCGAAGTCAGTTGACAATACGATACCTGAAAAATGTGCAAAAGACATGACCAGACCCCAACTCCAGCTAGTCTGTGTGTGCGCAACCATAACCTGGTTATATTCTTCTATGCCTGCCTCAAGTTCCAGTCTTGTGCACCCCAGTGATGTCTAGGTTTAAAGAGGGCACGGAAAAACTGCAACACAGTCACTGTGAAGATAGTAACCAGGCTAGAAGATAACTTCTCCACTAACCCAACAGATTCAAGCCTTTGTATAGAACAAGGCAAGCTGAATGTTAGTGTGCAAGACTTTAAAGAGTTAAACCCGAGTCTTTCAGAGGATTCACAACCCACCCACCCACCAGGAAGCCCATGAGCCAGCTGGCCAACCCACCAGTTAGGTAACCCAATAGCCAACAAGACACATTTTTATTTGGTGAGAACTAACACACGTGTGAAGTGTATGTTTGTTAGAGAGTGTGTGCGGCTTTGTGGCCTGGGTGAATCAGTATGTACATATATGATTGATTATCTTTGTATCCACAGAGATGGCCCCACATGGCGTCCGGGTCAACTCTGTCAAGTAAGTACCAAATAAACACTTAGTTGCTGTTGACAGTAACATCTTGAGATGTCAGCCAAGTAAGATAGTAACATCTTGAGATGCTAGCAGAGTAAGACAATAACATCCTGAGATGTCAGCCAAGTAAGATAGTAACATCTTGAGATGCTAGCAGAGTAAGACAGTAACATCCTGAGATGTCAGCCAAGTAAGATAGTAACATCTTGAGATGCTAGCAGAGTAAGACAGTAACATCCTGAGATGTCAGCCAAGTAAGATAGTAACATCTTGAGATGCTAGCTGAGTAAGACAGTAACATCTTGAGATGTCAGCCAAGTAAGATAGTAACATCTTGAGATGCTAGCAGAGTAAGACAGTAACATCCTGAGATGTCAGCCAAGTAAGAAAGTAACATCTTGAGATGCTAGCAGAGTAAGACAGTAACATCCTGAGATGTTAGCCAAGTAAGATAGTAACATCTTGAGATGCTAGCAGAGTAAGACAGTAACATCCTGAGATGTCAGCCAAGTAAGATAGTAACATCTTGAGATGTCAGCAAAGTAAGATAGTAACATCTTGAGATGTCAGCCAAGTAAGATAGTAACATCCTTAGATGTCAGCCAAGTAAGATAGTAACATCTTGAGATGTCAGCCAAGTAAGATAGTAACATCCTGAGATGTCAGCCAAGTAAGATAGTAACATCCTGAGATGTCAGCCAAGTAAGATAGTAACATCTTGAGATGCTAGCTGAGTAAGACAGTAACATCTTGAAATGCTAGCAGAGTAAGACAGTAACATCTGAGATGTTTAGCTGAGTAAGACAGTAACATCTTGATAAGTTAGCTGAGTAAGACAGTAACATCATGATATGCTAGCTTAGTAAGACAGTAACATCTTGAAGTGCTAGCCGAATAAGACATTTGAAATGTTTAGCTGATTACGACTCCACTAGAACATACAGCACATTCTCTAAATGCGAACCGTGGCAAAACTACGATTTATGTGATGTGCTGATGAAAGTACTCTGGCAGCAGTGTTCATTTGTGTTGACTGGTTCCACTTTTTTGTTTTGTTTTTTTGGTTACTTGATATCTTTTCACAACATTATCTAAATGTTATACAGTAAAGTTAACAGTAACTTCTTAGCTCAGCAAGAATTGAGGCTCATGTTAAAAGTGACTTTGTGGGTAATGAATTCACACTCACACATTTACTTACAAGTTGTTGATGTCAACATTATCTTGATATGAACAGTTCAGGCTAGCAAGGTTATGTTCTAATGTTAACATTATCTTAATATGCACAGTTCAGGCTAGCAAGGTTAAGTTCTAATGTTAACATTATCTTGATATGAACAGTTCAGGCTAGCAAGGTTAAGTTCTAATGTCAACATTATCTTGATATAAACAGTTCAGGCTAGCAAGGTTAAGTTCTAATGTTAACATTATCTTGATATGAACAGTTCAGGCTAGCAAGGTTAAGTTCTAATGTTAACATTATCTTGATATGAACAGTTCAGGCTAGCAAGGTTAAGTTCTAATGTTAACATTATCTTGATATGAACAGTTCAGGCTAGCAAGGTTAAGTTCTAATGTCAACATTATCTTGATATGAACAGTTCAGGCTAGCAAGGTTAAGTTCTAATGTTAACATTATCTTGATATGAACAGTTCAGGCTAGCAAGGTTAAGTTCTAATGTTAACATTAGAAGTGAATCCCCATATGGGTTCTGGGGCCCTGTTATAGGAAAAACTAGAACAGACTCACTGCCTACCCAAAAACATGTCGTAAGAGTCGACTAATTGGGAGCTTCCTTTGAAGTCAGAGTGCATCTGCCTGAGAGGCAAGGAACCAGCAGTCTGCATACAAATGACTCAGATCTGTAAAACGGATACACACACAACACTCAGGTTCTGGAACAGAATTGCAGTCCAGAAGTGGACAAACAACCAGAACTTTCCGCCAGAGTTTACAACTGGTGAACAGGAAGAAGAAAAAGTTTAGAGGTGAATCGGTCAAGCGAGCCAGGATATCAACACTGACGACCATATGAGCAAATACATATGAAATACCAGTAGTATGTTGCTGATAACACTGACCAGCCACCAATGTTTCCATGTGTCCAGTCCAGGGTCTGTGGTCAGCTTGATATACAAGAGAGGACAAGAGGCTTTGTCTGATCAGCAGTATGAAGAGGTATTATGTCTGTCTGTTGTTCCATGTGGATACCTGTGTCATCACCAGTCTGGTATTGTGTGTCTGTCAGTGTCATCACCAGTCTGGTATTGTGTCTGTCTGTTGTTCCATGTGGATATCTGTGTCACCACCAGTCTGGTATTGTGTCTGTCTGTTGTTCCATGTGGATACCTGTGTCACCACCAGTCTGGTATTGTGTCTGTCTGTTGTTCCATGTGGATACCTGTGTCACCACCAGTCTGGTATTGTGTCTGTCTGTCTGTGTCACCACTAGTCTGGTATTGTCTCTGTCAGTCTGTGTCACCACCAGTCTGGTATTGTCTCTGTCTGTTGTCCCATGTGGATACTTGTGTCACCACAAGTCTGGTATTGTGTCTGTCTGTCTGTTTCACCACCAGTCTGGTATTGTGTCTGTCTCTTGTCCCATATGAATATATTTGTCTCTACAAGGTCTATTGTGTCCATCTGTTGTCCCATTAGGATATCTCTATCACCACAAGTCTGGTATTGTGTACGTCTCATGTCCCGTATGCATATCTGTGTCTACAAGCTCTATTGTGTCTGTCTGTTGTCCCATGTGGATATATGTCTCTCTACAAGTCTGGCATTGTGTCTGTCTGTTGTTCCATATGGATATTGGTATTTCACAAAACTCATGCTGTGTCTGTCTGACTTCCCAAATGGAGTGTTTCATGTGTCTGTCTTTTGTTACATAACTGTGTTTTAAAAGTTTTTAAATCAGTATTGGCTTTAAATTTCAAGAATATGACCCATGATTTAACTTATAACTCCACACAGACACATAATTTAACTCACCACCCCACATAGACACATGATTTAACTTAAGCACCCATGATTTAACTCAAGATCTACAGACCCATGATTGAACTCATGACCCTATACAGACAAACAATTTAACTCAAGACCCCACACTGACACATGATTTAAATTAATCACCCACAATTTAGCTCAAGCACCTACAATTTAACCCAGACACCAAAAATTTAACTTAAGCACCCACAATTTAGCTCAAGCACCTACAATTTAACCCAGACACCAAAAATTTAACTTAAGCACCCACAATTTAACTCAAGCACCCATGATTTAACACAAGCACCCACAATTTAACTCAAGCACCCAAGATTTAACTCAAGCACCCACAATTTAACTCAAGCACCCAAGATTTAACTCAAGCACCCACAATTTAACTCAAGCACCCACAATTTAACTCAAGCACCCAAGATTTAACTCAAGCACCCAAGATTTAACTCAAGCACCCAAGATTTAACTCAAGCACCCACAATTTAACTCAAGCACCCACAATTTAACTCAAGCACCCACAATTTAACTCAAGCACCCAAGATTTAACTCAAGCACCCACAATTTAACTCAAGCACCCATGATTTAACTCAAGCACCCAAGATTTAACTCAAGCACCCACAATTTAACTCAAGCACCCACAATTTAACTCAGGCACCCACGATTTAACTCAAGCACCCATGATTTATACTTAAGTACCCACAATTTAACTCAAGCTTTCAAGATTTAACTCAAGCTTTCAAGATTTAACTCAAGCCTCCAAGATTTAACTCAAGCCCCCACAATTTAACTCAAGCACCCATGATTTAACTCAAGCACCCATGATCTACTTCAAGCTCCCATGATTCAACTCAAGCACCCTTGATTTAACTCAAGCTCCCATGATTCAACTCAAGCACCCTTGATTCAACTCAAGCTCCCATGATTTAACTCAAGCACCCATGATTCAACTCAAGCACCCATGATTTAACTCAAGCACCCATGATTCAACTCAAGCACCCATGATTTAACTCAAGCACCCATGATTTAACTCAAGCACCCATGATTTAACTCAAGCACCCATGATTTAACTCAAGCACCCATGATTTAACTCAAGCACCCATGATTTAACTCAAGCACCCACAATTTAACTCAAGCACCCACAATTTAACTCAAGCACCCATGATTTAACTCAAGCACCCATGATCTACCTCAAGCACCCATGATTTAACTCAAGCACCCACAATTTAACTCAAGCACCCATGATCTACCTCAAGCACCCATGATCTACCTCAAGCACCCTTGATTTAACTCAAGCACCCATGATTTAACTCAAGCACCCATGATTTAACTCAAGCACCCATGATTTAACTCAAGCACCCATGATTTAACTCAAGCACCCATGATTTAACTCAAGCACCCATGATTTAACTCAAGCACCCATGATTTAACTCAAGCACCCACAATTTAACTCAAGCACCCATGATCTACCTCAAGCACCCATGATTTAACTCAAGCACCCATGATTTAACTCAAGCACCCACGATTTAACTCAAGCACCCATGATTTAACTCAAGCACCCATGATCTACCTCAAGCACCCATGATTTAACTCAAGCACCCATGATTTAACTCAAGCACCCATGATTTAACTCAAGCACCCATGATTTAACCAATAACCTCACGACTCAAGAGGAGAATGGGCTTGTGGTAAACTGTGTCTCCCCCACCCCACCCCTCCTTTTCCCCCCAAGAAATGAGACAAATGAGACAATCTCCCAGCAACAAGGAACATCTGCTGCTGGTCTGAACACAAGTGAATCCTCGCTGGTGCTACAATAGATGACCAGCATGCTAAGATTCTTCTGTATGCAATCTAAGGCAGGAGACTGATCACTTATAGAAATATTCACGAGCCGTGAAGGGTACCTCTAAGCAAGAAAACCCAGCTAGTTACTTAAGATTTGAGACAAGTTTATGTACGATAGAATGTTGAAGTTCTTTCTTGGTCTGACCACAGTTCCAGCAGAGGCAGGCCTCGCCCAGTGTACATCCGCTGGGTCGCATGGTTCTAGCATCAGAGGTGGCCGACTCCATCGTGTTCCTGGCCTCGGAGCGGGCCAGTTTTATCACTGGACAAATCATCTTTGTGGATGGAGGTCGCCACTGCCTGGGCCCGGTGCCTCAGCTCAAGTAGACTGGAGATATGTGGATAGTGAGCTAGGCAGACATGTGGACAGTGAACTAGGCAGACATGTAGACAGTGAGCTAGGCAGACATGTGGACAGTGAACTAGGCAGACATGTGGACAGTGAGCTAGGCAGACTTGTGGACAGTCAGCTAGGCAGACTTGTGGACAGTGAGATGTGGATAGTGAGCTAGGCAGACATGTGGACTGTGAGCTAGGCAGACATGTGGACTGTGAACTAGGCAGACATGTGGACTGTGAACTAGGCAGACATGTGGACAGTGAGCTAGGCAGACATGTAGACAGTGAGCTAGGCAGACATGTGGACAGTGAGCTAGGCAGACATGTGGACAGTGAGCTAGGCAGACATGTGGACAGTGAACTAGGCAGACATGTGGACAGTGAGCTAGGCAGACATGTGGACTGTGAACTAGGCAGACATGTGGACAGTGAGCTAGGCAGACATGTGGACTGTGAACTAGGCAGACATGTGGACTGTGAACTAGGCAGACATGTGGACAGTGAGCTAGGCAGACATGTGGACAGTGAGCTAGGCAGACATGTGGACAGTGAGCTAGGCAGACATGTGGACTGTGAACTAGGCAGAATTGTGGATAGTCAGACTTGTGGACAGTCAGCTAGGCAGACATGTGGATAGTCAGCTAGGCAGACATGTGGACTGTGAACTAGGCAGAATTGTGGATAGTCAGACTTGTGGACAGTCAGCTAGGCAGACATGTGGATAGTCAGCTAGGCAGACATGCGGACAGTCAGCTAGGCAGACATGTGGATAGTGAGCTAGGCAGACATGTGGACAGTGAACTAGGCAGACATGTGGACAGTGAGCTAGGCAGACATGTGGACAGTCAGCTAGGCAGACATGTGGACAGTGAGCTAGGCAGACATGTGGACAGTGAACTAGGCAGACATGTGGACAGTGAGCTAGGCAGACATGTGGACAGTCAGCTAGGCAGACATGTGGACAGTCAGCTAGGCAGACATGTGGACAGTGAGATGTGGATAGTCAGACTTGTGGACAGTCAGCTAGGCAGACATGTGGACAGTCAGCTAGGCAGACATGTGGACAGTGAGATGTGGATATTCAGACATGTGGACAGTCAGCTAGGCAGACTTGTGGACAGTCAGCTAGGCAGACTTGTGGACAGTCAGCTAGGCAGACTTGTGGACAGTCAGCTAGGCAGACATGTGGACAGTCAGCTAGGCAGACATGTGGACAGTCAGTTAGGCAGACATGTGGACAGTCAACTAGGCAGACATGTGGACAGTCAGCTAGGCAGACATGTGGACAGTCAGCTAGGCAGACATGTGGACAGTCAGCTAGGCAGACTTGTGGACAGTCAGCTAGCAGACATGTGGACAGTCAGCTAGGCAGACTTTTGGACAGTCAGCTAGGCAGACTTTTGGACAGTGAGATGTGGATAGTCAGCTGGTCAGACATGTGGATAGTCAGCTAGTCAGACATGTGAACAGTGAGCTAGGCAAACTTGTCGACAGTCAGCTAGGCAGACTTGTGGACAGTCAGCTAGGCAGACTTGTGGACAGTCAGCTAGGCAGACTTGTGGACAGTGAGATGTGGATAGTCAGCTAGGCAGACATGTGAACAGTGAGCTAGGCAAACATGTAGATAGTCAGCTAGGCAGACATGTGGACTGTGAGATGTGGACAGTGAGAGAGATGGAGTGTGCTTGCAGGCAAGACAGACAGATCATATCCAAAAGATGTATAAGTTGTGTCTGGGAATCTCTGGTGTCAGTGAGATCAACAGACATGGCCACCAACACAAGTGAAGTGAGAACAGTCTAATGTCAGTGACAGCAAACACTTAACAAAAGGACACGGAACATGGACAACTTTGACAGTAGGATATGAGACACTTTGACAACAGGACATTGAACATTTTGACAACAGGACATGGGATATCCGACATGGAAAACTCTGACAAAGGGACATGCGGCATAGAAAACTTTGACAACAGGACATGGGGCATGGAATGGAAAAACTTTGACAGTAGTACATGGGACATGAAAACTTTGACAACAGGAGATGGAACATAGAAAACTTTCAAAAGGACACTGGATATGACAAACTAAGACAATAGGACATGAAAGTTTCAACTTTGAAAACAGGACACGAGACAAGGAAATCTTTGAAAACAGGACATGGAATATGAGACAAGGAAAACTAAGAATAGGACACAAGAAAAGTGTGAACAATGAGACACAAAAACAACATGTTAAAATATACAGACTAGGATTGGGTTTAACATATTTGTAAGACAAAACAAGGGTTCAAGACAACATACAGACTAGGACAGGGTTTAACATATTTGTAAGACAAAACAAGGGTTCAAGACAACATACAGACTAGCCAGGGTTTAACATATTTGTAAGACAAAACAAGGGTTCAAGACATACAGACTAGGACAGGGGTTTAACATATTTGTAAGACAAAACAAGGGTTCAAGACATACACACTAGGACAGCGGTTTAACATATCTGTTAGACAAAAGAAGGGTTCAAGACAAACAGATTTGACAGTTGCCAAAGAGCCAATGGCTAAACATATCCTGTCAACCAAACTTGTGACAGTTACCAGAGAGAATAAACCAGACCTGTGCATGTAAGCCAGAATAAACCAGTTGTCATATAATGTCTGTGTTTTGTTGAGGGTATGTCTACATCCTTGGGGAGAAGAGAATGAAACTTTGGTTAATTACAACTGGTATGTCTACACCCTTGGGGAGAAGAGAGTGAAACTTTTCTTAATTACAACTGGTATGTCTACACTTCAGGTTGGAACATCTTGTGTACAACTGGTATGTCTACGCTCTAAGGTGGAACATATTTTGTGTACATCTGGTAGGTCTACATCCAGGGTGGAACATTTCTCATGTACAAATGGTAGGTCTAAATCCAGGGTGGAACATACCTCATGTACAAATGGTAGGTCTATGTTACAGGGTGGAACATACCTCATGTACAAATGGTAGGTCTATGTTACAGGGTGGAACATACCTCATGTACAAATGGTATGTCTATGCTTCGGTGGAACATATCTCATGTACAAATGGTAGGTCTATGCTACAGGGTGAAACATACCTCATGTACAAATGGTATGTCTATGCTCCAGGGTGGAACATACCTCATGTACAAATGGTAGGTCTATGTTACAGGGTGGAACATACCTCATGTACAAATGGTATGTCTATGCTCCAGGGTGGAACATATCTCATGTACAAATGGTAGGTTTAAATCCAGGGTGGAACATACCTCATGTACAAATGGTAGGTCTAAATCCAGGGTGGAACATACCTCATGTACAAATGGTAGGTCTATGCTACAGGGTGGAACATATCTCATGTACAAATGGTAGGTCTACGTTACAGGGTGGAACATACCTCATGTACAAATGGTATGTCTATGCTTCAGGTGGAACATACCTCATGTACAAATGGTAGGTCCAGGCTTCAGGTGGAACATATCTCATGTACAAATGGTATGTCTATGCTTCAGGTGGAACATACCTCATGTACAAATGGTAGGTCTATGCTACAGGGTGAAACATACCTCATGTACAAATGGTAGGTCTATGTTACAGGGTGGAACATACCTCATGTACAAATGGTATGTCTATGCTTCAGGTGGAACATATCTCATGTACAAATGGTAGGTCTATGCTACAGGGTGAAACATACCTCATGTACAAATGGTAGGTCTATGCTCCAGGGTGGAACATACCTCATGTACAAATGGTAGGTCTATGCTACAGGGTGAAACATACCTCATGTACAAATGGTAGGTCTATGCTACAGGGTGAAACATACCTCATGTACAAATGGTATGTCTATGCTTCAGGTGAAACATACCTCATGTACAAATGGTAGGTCTATGCTACAGGGTGAAACATACCTCATGTACAAATGGTAGGTCTATGTTACAGGGTGGAACATACCTCATGTACAAATGGTATGTCTATGCTCCAGGGTGGAACATATCTCATGTACAAATGGTAGGTCTAAATCCAGGGTGGAACATACCTCATGTACAAATGGTAGGTCTAAATCCAGGGTGGAACATACCTCATGTACAAATGGTAGGTCTAAATCCAGGGTGGAACATACCTCATGTACAAATGGTAGGTCTATGCTACAGGGTGGAACATATCTCATGTACAAATGGTAGGTCTACGTTACAGGGTGGAACATACCTCGTGTACAAATGGTAGGTCTACGCTCCAGGGTGGAACATATCTCATGTACAAATGGTAGGTCTAAATCCAGGGTGGAACATATCTCATGTACAAATGGTAGGTCTAAATCAAGGGTGGAACATATCTCATGTACAAATGGTATGTCTACGCTCCAGGTGGAACATATTTTGTGTACATCTGGTAGGTCTACATCCAGAGTGGACCATATCTCATGTACAACTTACATGTCTACACTTCAGGGTGGAACATACCTCATGTACAAATGGTAGGTCTATGTTACAGGGTGAAACATACCTCATGTACAAATGGTATGTCTACGCTCCAGGGTGGAACATACCTTATGTACATATGATACATCTTCATCCAGGGTTGACCATATCTCATGTACAATTTGTATGTCTACACTTCACACATATCTCAGAGGAAAGAGTAGGATACAATTAACAATTTCATGTAAAGTTGGCATGCCTAGACCCCCGGGTAACAGAGGGAAACAATGAAATATCTCAAGTACAGCCAAATGCTGTCAATGAATGTCTAGAAAAAACAAACAAATCACAGACACGTGACACATATTTGAGCAGGGAGGGACAGCAAACAAGACCAGAGTCTCTCAGGAAGTCAGCATGTTTTATTTAACACCATTTTCTCTCTCGGGCAAACACACATATATCTACATATAAATCCATGAACTGTCAATGCCCACATGACAGTGTCCTTGACAGCTGTCACCTAAACACACACACACACACACAGAATCAGTCAGCCCATCACTGACACAGACTTCCACACAACAGATCACTCACTCAACCCAATACTGATACAGATATCCACTCAACAGATCAATCACTCAACCCAATATTGATACAGACATCCACACAATAGATCAATCTCTCAACCCAATATTGATACAGACATCCACACAATAGATAATCTCTCAACCCAATATTGATACAGACATCCACACAATAGATAATCTCTCAACCCAATATTGATGCAGACATCCACACAATAGATAATCTCTCAACCCAATGTTTGATGCAGACATCCAACCAATAGATAATAACTCAATCCAATATTGATTCAGACATCCACACAACAGATCAATCCTTCAACCCAATATTGATACAAACATCCACACAACAGATCAATCAATTAACCAACTTCACCTGTGAAGAAACATGATGATGGTCTCAAGCTGGTCTCAGTTCCCACCATCAACCTCCTTGACTCAACTCAGGGAAGGAACGAGGTGACCCGTGAGGCCAAGCCATCAAAGAACCAGCCGCATTCAACACAGTCAGCTGGACTAACAGAGCCCGGCCAGCCCTCACCTCACACAGTCTTACATCCACACACCAACTGTCCAACTCCTGATCATTCTGCCGGAGGTTACTGCCAGTGACCCTGTGTAAGAACCCCAAACGCCACTTGCCAACAGGGCCAGTGCTGTCACTGTAAGATCCCTGACTACCTTCTGATCCCTCTCATCAACAAAAGGGACCAGCCTATCAGTAATGTCTCTGGTACCTCCATGCGGATATTTTGGAGGAGACTGAAGCACTAATGGATTTGCCCGGAGAGCTGTGATTGTAGTCGCCATTAATCACAACAGAGAGGAACATGATGAACATAACACATCTCGAAACTTAAAAATTTTACACGCATAATCTGCTATAGCAATATTCCCATCAGACCTAGAAATGTAAAATAAGCATGGAAAACATTAAAGTTACTTTATCTCTCTCTCTCTCTCTCTCTTTTTAACAACCATACGTTTAATATGCGTCATTCTCGCATGGGTCATCAACAGTGCCTGAGCTTGAATTTTTCACTGACCCCTTATGGTATATCTTGAAGTGTCGCTCCTGTGGGCCTTATTTCTTCCCTCTGACTGGAAACTGCTCAGTCTTCTGGTCCCACATACACACAAGTCGTCAGATTTGCCAGCCAGTAGACACACATGCGTACAGTCCCAGCCTGACATTTTCATTACGGACTGGCTACGTAAGGATTTCCACAGGACAGGAATAGCTCACATGCATACACACAAGTGAGCATACAAGACACACAATGAACACACGCATTTACATACTGGGGTCATAGTTGACAAATATTTACTGGCAAGATAACAGGAAATGTAAAACAAAAAGCACAATGGAAGACAAGGCATAAGAGAGACAATGAACATGCGTGCACATACAGATGCATGCACACAAACATATATGTACAACACACACACATATAGGTATGGAACAACCATGCCAGAACCCTGGTTGTGACTTCCCTCACCAGTAATGGTTCTCAACATAGTTGGGTTGTAGCTTCCATCACCAGTTGTTCTCAACATGGTCATACTGTGACTTCCCTCACCAGTGGTTCTCAACATGGTTGTAGCTTCCATCACCAGTTGTTCTCAACATGGTCATACTGTGACTTCCCTCACCAGTGGTTCTCAACATGGTTATAGCTTCCCTCACCAGTGGTTCTCAACATGGTTTCAACTTCCCTCACCAGTGGTTCTCAACATGGTTTTAACTTCCCTCACCAGTTGTTCTCAACATGGTCATACTGTGACTTCCCTCACCAGTTGTTCTCAACATGGTCATGTTGTGACTTCCTTCACCAGTGGTTCTCAACATGGTCATGTTGTGACTTCCCTCACCAGTGGTTCTCAACATGGTTGTGTTGTGACTCCCCTCACCAGTTGTTCTCAACATGGTCATGTTGTGACTTCCCTCACCAGTGGTTCTCAACATGGTCATGTTGTGACTTCCCTCACCAGTGGTTCTCAACATGGTCATGTTGTGACTTCCTTCACCAGTGGTTCTCAACATGGTCATGTTGTGACTTCCCTCACCAGTGGTTCTCAACATGGTCATGTTGTGACTTTCCTCACCAGTGGTTCTCAACATGGTTGTGTTGTGACTTCCCTCACCAGTTGTTCTCAACATGGTCATGTTGTGACTTCCCTCACCAGTGGTTCTCAACATAGTTATGTTGTAGGCCTCTAGTTCTCTAAAAATGCCAACAACTCCAGGAACAAGAAATTATGCTCTCTAAAGAACAGCTGTAGGAGAGTTCTTCTGTTCTATGACATCATCATCATCATCCTACAAATCAATAAACACACATACACATCATACTAGAAAATATATGTCCCCTAAAAGACACAAACGCACATATTCTCCATGCACATATTGCACATCTCCTTATACAAGCCCTCTCCCGGAACACGTATTGCAAACGGGCTTCACTTCTGGTGGCCCATGCCAGGCCAGTAGAAGGATGCCACATTCTATGTACAAGGCAATGGAGGAAAACATGGCCAACATTGCAGACACAAAGGATTCAGGTTTAAATCTACAGACAACAAAATCATGAGTGGATCAGGACCAGCAGCAGCAGCAGCAGTGGGGTGAGCTTGGAGTATTGATCGCAAACAGTTGGTAACAACAACAATGAGCAAGGATATCATGGGCAATACTGATAATGAGATGATGTTTTCACAACAACCGCAATAACAACAACAGGCGAAATGCACCACAACTGTGTCAACATTACACAACACTTGAAGATAGTGACAAGAGACAGCCACAATATTACATTACATAACGGGTGATATGGTTGTAATAATGACATTGTATTTTGTGATAATAATGAGATCAGGAAGGAGGGGCAGGGGCTGACCAACATAAAGATGGGCACAGGATATAAGCGGTTTCTTGAAGATGAAAGTACACGAGGCCGGAGAGCTGGCGAGAGACCGAGTTTCTTTTAGGCAGACCTGATGAGAGTGACGTTCTGCAAAGGACCTGCTACATGAATAGAATAGATGAGTGTAGCACTGGACATGAGTGTCCAGATGTTAGTGGGTGGACATGAGTGTCCAGATGTTAGTGGGTGGACATGAGTGTCCAGATGTTAGTGGGTGGACATGAGTGTCCAGATGTTAGTGGGTGGACATGAGTGTCCAGATGTTAGTGGGTAAGGAAGATATGAGTTTAATAAGGTGACCAGGAAGGGAAAAGAGGTGCCGGTACTGACCAAAGCTTCCGTAAAGGTGCACATGTACTTATCACAAAGTGTCTGACATTAAAGGACCCTTTTCCATGCCTTTTAGGCAGATTGGGCATACAGGGCTAGACAATAAGACAGAGACAAATGCTGTTCTTTGGCCACATAAAGAGAAGAGAGACAGTGGAGAACACTGTAACTGGAAAGATCAGTGGAAAAAGGGGTAGAGGCAGACCAAGAGAGATGATGCTGGATGGGATGAAACGATGGCATGGAGGGATATCATCAAGAGAGCTGTTCCAGGCAACCAGGGATCGTGATCTGTGGAGACGCATGAGCGCCTATGCCAGTTGGCAGGGCACATGATGATGATGAGAGCTAGACCTATATTTCATAGACCAATCAGGACTTGGTAGATGATGTGGTCAGTATCATGCCGGCCACCTTGATTTCCCAGTAGCACAAAAAACACACAAAAAACTGTCAATTAAAATATGTGCCGGTACTGTGAACTATTGGGTACCACCAGAAAAACCCCCAGCTCTGTGAATGATATTATTGACAGATGTAATGATAATGAACAGAGATGTTCACCTTAATGTTGACATTAATGATGGATGTAATGATACCACCTGTAACAAGTGAAATTCTGAGAATGAAGCTGGGGTTAGTATCTGTTAGGCTGGTTACCATAGGCAACAGACAAAACTGGGAACACAGTGTGAAGACTTGCATGTGTGTGTGTGCGCCTCTGTATGTGTGTGCGCGCCTCTGTGGGTGTGTGTGTGTGTGCCTCTGTATATGTGTGTGTGCGTGCTCTGTGTGTGTATTTATGTGTGTGCATGGGTGTGGGTGTGTGTCTCTGTATATGTGTGTGCGCCTCTATGTGTGTATTTGTGTGTGTGCACCTCTGTATGTGTGTCTGTGAGTGGAATGTTTTGTCAACATGGCCAGAAGTTGATTAACATGAAGAAATACTCTACTCAGACACTGTCCCTTCTCTCACACATCTTGGAGACAATGTCCCTTCTCTCACAAATCTCTGAGACAATGTCCCTTCTCTCACACATCTCTGAGACACTGTGCCTTCTCTCATCACACATCTCTGAGACACTGCCTCTTCTCTCACACATCTCAGAGACAATGTCCCTTCTCTCACACATCTCTGAGACAATGTCCCTTCTCTCACACATCTCTGAGCCACTGTCCCTTCTCTCACACATGTCTAAGATACTGCCTCTTCTCTCATCACACATCTCTGAGACACTGTGCCTTCTCTCACACACGTCTAAGATACTGCCTCTTCTCTCAGACAGCTAGTAACCCACATCTTGACCTCTGCTATTAGCAATAATGAGAAATCTCTTGCATTTAAAATTCTCTCACAAGCTGTGTCACATAAAATAAGGCATGAAGATGATAACTACACAAGGCTCAATAACATCTACAGATCGTGGTGTTTGCCAGCTCTGCAGGTGTCAATTGTACAATCTATGATCTCACTATACATGTCAACAACATCTATAGATCGTGGTGTCTGCCAGCTCTGCAGCTGTCAATGGTACAATCTATGATCTCACTAGACATGTCAACAACATCTACAGATCGTGGTGTCTGCCAGCTCTGCAGCTGTCAATGGTACAATCTATGATCTCACTAGACATTTCAACAACATCTACAGATCGTTGTGTCTGCCAGCTCTGCAGCTCTCAATTGTACAATCTATGATCTCACTAGACATGTCAACAACATCTATAGATCGTGGTGTCTGCCAGCTCTGCAGCTGTCAATGGTACAATCTATGATCTCACTAGACATGTCAACAACATCTATAGATTGTGGTGTCCACCAGCTCTGCAGCTGTCAATGGTACAATCTATGATCTCACTAGACATTTCAACAAAATCTACAGATCGTTGTGTCTGCCAGCTCTGCAGCTCTCAATGGTACAATCTATGATCTCACTAGACATGTCAATAACATCTACAGATTGTGGTGTCTGCCAGCTTTGCAGCTGGTAATGGTACAATCTATGATCTCACTAGACATGTCAACAACATCTGAGGATGGCGGCGTTTGCCAGCTCTGCAGCTGTTAATGGTACAATCTATGATCTCACTAGACATGTCAACATCATCTGAGAATCGTGGTGTTCGCCAGCTCTGCAACTGTTAATGCTACAATTTATGATCTCACTAGACATGTCAACAACATCTGAGAGTCGTGGTGTTTGCCAGCTCTGCAGCTGTTAATGGTACAATCTATGATCTCACTAGACATGTCAACAACATCTGAGGATGGTGGTGTCCGCCAGCTCTGACTGCAGCAAACGTCAACAAAATCTGTGATAAGGTTACATATTTACCAAGCACAGCTTTACTGGCACAGCTGGTAACAATTCATCAATTTTATTTCTGAAAACAAATCTCCAACAGCTGCTCCATTTATGTGGAGAAAAATTCAAAATTGTAAACGAACAGTTTCTGACAGGTAACAAAAGATCTGTGCTATCTCTGTTGACACAAATTTATTCAACTTTCTTCTTAAAATAACAGATTCTGTCAGATTAAAAACTAATAACTGCAGTATCATTAAAAAAAAGCATTCACAGACTTTAAATGTGCTTGTTTTAAAACTAATATTTATCACATTTAGAAACTGGACAGCTGTAATATTTGTCATTTCTAAAAACTAGACAGCTGTAAGATTTACCACATACACAAAATTGAGACAGCTGTAATGTTCATCCCAGATAAAATCTAGACAGAACTCATGTTTGCCACAAATAAAATCTAGACAGCTGTAATATTTGCCACAGGTAAAAAATAGACAAATGTAATGTTTTCAACAGGTAAAAAAAAAATAGACATCTGTAATGTCCCAGATAAAATCTAGATAGCTTTAATGGTTGCCAAAGACAAAAACTAGACAGTTGTAATGTTTGTTCCAGATAAAAACTAGATAGTTGTAATGTTTACCACAGATAAAAACTAGCCATCCATAGTGTTCCTTGAGTCAGAGAGAACATGGGACAAGACAGACTGCTAGCATTCAACATGTCTAGACAACATTCAACAGGTCTTGATTTGATAGCATACAACCTAAACTACATTCAACACATCTAGACCACACACAATATGTTTAGATTAGACAGCATTCCAACTTGTCTAGACTAGACTACACAACATACAATATTTTTAGACTAGACAACATAAAACATGTCTAGACTAGACAACACATAACATATCTCTAGACTAGACAACACATAACATATGTCTAGACTAGACAACACATAACACATGTCTAGACTAGACAACACATAACATATGTCTAGACCAGACAATGTAGAACACATCTAGACTAGACAACACAGAACACGTCTAGACTAGACAACATACGACATGTCTAGACTAGACAACATACAACATGTCTAGACTAGACAACATATGATATGTCTAGACTAGACATCATAAAAAATGTCTAGACTAGACAACATACAACATGTCTAGTCTAGACAACATACAACATGTCTGGACTAGACAACATGTCTAGACAACATACAACATGTCTAGACTAGACAACATAAAACATGTCTAGACTAGACAACATGTCTAGACAACATAAAACATGTCTAGACTAGACAACATGTCTAGACAACATATAACATGTCTAGACTAGACAACATGTCTGGACTAGACAACATACAACATGTCTAGACTAGACAACATACAACATGTCTAGACAAGACAACATATGATAGTCTAGATTAGACATCATAGAAAATGTCTAGACTAGACATCATGTCTAGACAAGATATAGTGAACTGAAATAAATAAAGAATTATTAAAACCAGATGAACTCTCAGTAAAAGAAGCAGGACAACAGGTTGGTGTCCCATACATTTCCAATACAGTCCCTTGGTTTTGGTTTCAACTGTTCATTTGACTAGAATCTCCTGCCCTTCTTTCATAGGAGATGAGTGTAACAGTGCTGATGCTCGCCCCATGAATCCTGACGAAACGTCACATCTGATGATCGGGTTTTCTCCAGTAGCAAAACAAACACATAGCAAGGCAGATGGTGGTGAATGCTGATTGGTCAGAACATCCACCATTCACTTGAAGCTTCATAACAGCGTCAGCCGATGAAACTCTTACGTCTGAACTCAGTCAAAAGACATCAAATTCACTGGCTGAAAATAAGAAGAAGAAACCCCCACTATACTCAACTTGTGGACTAAGGTAAGTGTATTGTTGTTTTGTTTTATTCAAGCTACTGAACGGACATGCAAACAACAAACATGGGGAGGGGGGGGGGGGGGGGGGAGAATGAGAGATAAAGAGAGAGAATGAAAAAGAGTCACAAATTGGGCACGCAGGACTGTCTTACATTCAGCACTTTCAAACACTCATCTTTCACACAGCAACTGTATTTTACCAATGGAGCATGTTATGTTCCTATAACAATATGCATAATATGAATATCAAGAAAATAAGCATGGGTGGTAAATGCAAGCTCACATGTACAAACGCCCATTCACTCACACACACAGGGTGGGGTTAGAGAGAGAGAGTTAGAGAGAGAGAGAGGGAGAGAGAGAGAAAGAGTTAGAGAGAGATTTAGAGAGAGAGTTAGAGAGAGAGAGAGCGGGAGAGAGAAAGCGGGAGAGAGAGTTAGAGAGAGTTAGAGAGAGAGAGTGAGAAAGAGAGAGTTAGAGAGAGAGAGAGTTAGAAAGAGAGAGTTAGAAAGAGAGAGAGAGAGAGAGAGAGAGAGAGTGAGAGAGAAAGAGAGAGAGAGGGAGAGAGAGAGAGTTAGAGAGAGATAGAGTTAGAGAGAGAGAGAGAGGGAGAAAGAGAGTTAGAGAGAGAGAGAGAGAGTTAGAGAGAGTAAGAGAGAGAGGGAGGGAGAGAGAGAGTTAGAGAGGGAGAGAAAGAGAGAGAGAGTTAGAGAGAGGGAGAGAAAGAGAGAGAGAGGGAGAGAAAGAGAGAGAGAGAGAGGGAGAGAAAGAGAGAGAGAGAGAGGGAGAGTTAGAGAGAGTTAGAGAGAGTTAGAGAGAGAGAGAGAGAGTTAGAGAGAGATAGGGAGAGAGAGAGGGGGAGAGAGAGAGCTAGAGAGAGAGAGAGTTAGAGAGAGAGTTAGAGAGAGAGGGAGGGAGAGAGAGAGTTAGAGAGAGAGAGAGGGAGAGAAATAGAGAGAGAGAGAGTTAGAGAGTTAGAGAGAGAGAGAGAGTTAGAGAGAGAGAGAGAGAGAGAGAGAGAGGGGGGGGGAGAGAGAAATAGAGAGAGAGAGAGAGAGAGAGAGAGAGAGAGTTAGAGAGAGAGTTAGAGAGAGAGAGAGTTAGAGAGAGAGAGAGAGAGAGAGAGATGCGGGGGGTGGCGGAGGGCATTAGCCTGAGCATTTATGACTGCATTGCTAGTAGTCGCCATGAACTGTGCAGATGAGGATTTGTAATTCTACCCCCCCCCCCCCACTTACAGAAAAAAAATCTCCATTTCTTACAGAGGTTCAAACCCAGGTGTTCAACATGAACCCAATGCTATAACCAGTTAGCCTGTCACGCCCCCCCCCCCCCCCCACAATTCTTGTTCTAGGTAACCAAAGGTTTATTCCTCCAGAAAATATATGATCACAACAGTGCACATCATCGGCTGTTCTTGGTAACCAATGGTTTATTTTCTTCAGAACATCTATGATAAAATGTGAACATAATCAGTGCACATCATCGGCTGTTCTTGGTAACCAATGGTTTATTTTCTCCAGAACATCTATGATCAGATCTGTGAACTTTATCAGTGCACATCATCAGCTAGAGTAGAAGAGAGACTGACCTTCTGTGTGCCACGCTTGGTTGCCTCGCTGAGGTACCGGCACCACTGTAAGGCATTAGACTGAGTGCCCGCACGAAACTTGTACACATTACCTGTGGCACAAACAGAAGCATATGTGTCAGCAAAAACATTACCATGTGTACAAGTTAAGATATGATAGGTACAAGCTACATTATCCCATGTACACATTACTTGTGGCACAAACAGAAGCATATGTGTCAGCAAAAAACATTACCATGTGTACACGTAAGGACATCGTTTGTGAAGTACAAGTTAAGATATGATAGGTACAAGCTACATTATCCCATGTACACATTACCTGTGGCACAAACAGAAGCATATGTGTCAGCAAAAAACATTACCATGTGTACATGTAAGGACATCGTATGTGAAGTACAAGTTAAGATATGATAGGTACAAGCTACATTATCCCATGTACACGTTAGGATTTCACATGAATACAGTTAGTACATCATATGTACAGGTTTTGAC